AAATAATACAATAGAATAATAAATAAAAATAAATGAACTATGTTATTGAGGAAGCGTTGATGGACTCTTGTGGCCAAAATAGCCAAACAACTGGCAGCTAAATGCTAACAAGCAGTTAATCTGCTTTGCTAACCGTCTCTGTTCCTTTAAGCTTCTTTTCATAAAAGAGTCGAAGCAGGATAGAGAATTAAACCAGCTTTCTGACCGACTGTTTCCTGCCAACAGACCAGTTAGCTTTTACACCGGAAAGCTGGTAACCTGAGAGCTCAGGCCAGGTGTAACTGCTTTCCAATTTTATTTGTTGCTTTGCTGTGGCCATTGTCTTCAGGTTTTATATTCACAGATGTTTAACCTTTTACCAAAACATCCCTTTTTCAATATCATTATTCTTTTTAGATACTATTTCATATTTTAAGTTATATAGGCCTGTATTGTTGTTGTCTGTACATCACAGTGTTTTATTTAGGGATTGAGGGATTAACTAAATTGGTTTAAATTTGAATTGAAGTTGTTTGTCGCTTTCCGTGCCCTAAAACGTCAAAAAGCTTCCAACTTAAAACTTCTCACACACATCTTTATCTATTCAGTTATTATAATACAATTTGCACTCTTTGTTTTTGTTTTCACCTCCTTTTGTGATGCAAGCGCTGCACAACATTTCCCTCGAGGTAAAGTTCCCTTCTTGTCTTATCAACAGATGGAATTTGCATGTCAAAAGCAGGATTTGATGCCGAAGAATTAATCCAGATATACTTCCAGTAAATCTGCTGATATCAGTGGAAGTCTCAATTTCAAAAGAATTGATTTTGCAGCATCATTTTTGCTGGTTTTAAAGGTGTTGTGATCCGTCCCAGTCCCTGCTCAGAACATTAACGTTACTGCATGAAAAGAAGGCAGCTCCATGATTAACTTTAATAAATAACTTTCTGTGTCGAGTATCAGTCACTGAGCAATGAATATAAAAAGCATGGGGGTTGGTGCGTTTTGCAAGGATACGTCATTATTTTTTATTTACCTAGTGAGGAAAAACAATTGTTTTGTCGTTCCCTCTAAAGGCCCTGGCACACCAAGCAAACGGCAAAGAACTAGTGGCGACGAAGGCCGCCTGCAGCGTCGCCTCACTTCTTGGCCAAAGAGGTGCACTTGAACACACCGCAAAGACTACAGCTGACGTTCTGTGCATGCTTGAGGGGCGGCGGTAGCTCGTTGTTATCAGTGCTGTAGAGAGAGAGGCACCGGTTGTTAAGATAAGAGAAGACCATTTTCACACCGCTGTCGGCCACCACTCGTATTATAGGTAGCCTTCTAATCCAGAGTATCTGATAAAAAGTTGAAAATGTCTCTGGCGTTGTCACCCTTTGGTTTTTTTTTTAGTGGAAAAAGAAAAGAAGAGGCGGTAGCGACAAATAAGGAGAAACCGCACTAATGGGTGAAAGCATGGATACTACAGCGGAACGCTCAAGGGGCTTTACTGAACCTGTGAGAGCTGGAGATCAATGAAACCTCCAAACAGCCAATCAGAGAGATCCCTCTCACCGATGCTGTTCCAGAACAAGGGTCACCACCATATGCGCATCTGGCTTTCCAGCGTGGACTTGGATTTGGCCTGAATTTATTATGGACAAGCAGGTGCTACGTGCGGTAGCTTGCAGTGTCTGGGTCTAAGTACAAGCAGTAGACGTACACACTACGTCCTGCAGTGGGCGTGCACTTTTGGGGGCAGTGAGCCCAGGAGGAGGGGCCCAGTTTGAATGTTGTGTTTACAACCTGCAGCAGACAACGCTACTGACTCTTGCCTTTAAAATAACACAACAACCACGCAGCTCTTTCCCTTTTTCCAAGTCTGTTTAAAAACCTTCCTTATGGCCAAAGTAGATCTTCAAAACAAACATTTTTCTGTTTGGTGTTATCGCATGTAGATAAGCAAAAAATCTTATCCATTGATGAGTTCTATCTGAATCTGAAAGGATAAAAACCCCATTGAGTGGACTTATCTTGTCACATACTATCTAGACTTCACAATGTTGCTGAAAACTCCAACTGTAATCTCATTTTCCTTCTAACGCAGTCGGCTTTATCCTTGAAAGAAACTGAATGTGTTAAGGGGGAGAAAGTGAGAGGAGTGCTGAGGATTTCTCCAAACTGCAGCCCGATTTGTAGGCGAGGGGATTCTCCACACTTTGCTCAGCAGCTCATTTAGGAAGCTGCCCGAGATAATTTCCTGCAAAGAAAGACAAATGCACCTTCCGTCTCTGAAGTCACTGTTGAGTTATTTTTCTTTGCCTTATCAAGCAGTCCTAAAGAGGCGTGTGTGCCTGGCCTGTTACACTGACAGCTTTATCTGACCGCCCAATGGGACCATTAACGCACGTTTGGAGGTAATGGGTCAAAGTAAGTGTAATCTTCCCACTGAAAATAAAATGATAAAGTCGTTCAATTCCAGGTCAAAGATCAGCAGTACGAAAAGGCAGCAGTTAATTTGGGGTTCCTCTGCAAAGTCAGCAGAAAACTGACATGAAAGTTGATGCTGGCCGATTCTTGCGGTCTTATGCAACAGCCATGTCGTGTGGTATGTCTGAGCACGGGCCAAGTAACATTAAACGGACTCTGAGCCATCGCTCTGGTCAGGGAGGTCCTTCAAGCGTGCTTCACAAGAACTTGTGAAATCTAGAGTTGAAAGAGAAGCGGCACACAGAGCGCTTACAGATTTTTGGTTTGATTTCGGTGTCAAGCTGCGGCGCTTTTCCAAAAGAACCCAAACAAATCAAGATAAAAAGACGCGACTAAAAGCCCCGTTTGAGAAAATGTGGCCTTACCAACTTTAGATCTCCCTCCCCACTCTGATGGTATGAAGCATCAGAGTACATCTAAAACTGGAGCACGCGGGGTGCAGTTTTAGAGGAGAGGAAACACATGCAGTGCGCGCGCTCTCAAAAATCACAAAATGATCAATTAGCAGGCAACATGTGAGTCAATCTGCGAACGACAAGCACCCTGTTAGTCAGGTTGTGGAGGTTCAAATGTTGTCGGTTTACTCCCACTGGTGTTTGGGAGCACATGATGATGATGATGATGAAGCCAGGGGCAGCTGCGGTGTCAGTAATACACAGTGAGTGCCCTCGCATGAACTCAACACCAAGATGATTAACATGCTTTTGTTTCACTGCAGTGTGCTCAGTGTGCAGGCCCTGCGCTTTATAATGCAGGCATTGATTTGTTATACCTGCAGATTGAAGATTTCTACATGCCACATATGCTGCAATTGCATGGGCTAAATATGGATGAAAAGGCAAAATACTTTATCAGAGTTTTAATGATATTTATTGCCTTGTCTTGGCTGATGCATTCTTGTATTTGGTAGTTTTATGTCTATATGCTTCGCCTGGACCCAGAGGATAACAAAGTTCAAGATGTAAGGGTGCAAAACTCTTCTTTTTATAAAGTCATATCTCTTATCCTCCGGCCTGGTTTTCTCCAAACTAACAGAAAAAAAAAGAGCCGATTGTAACCAATTTCTTGGTGCGTGCCTGTACTGATCTAAAAAAGGACAAATTAAGAAGGCTGCTGTAAGCAAACTCAACTTGAAAGAGCCAGAGAAAGATCTTAACATAATTAAAGATGAAAAAAAAAGATTTTCTTCTAGGAATTGTGTGATGATTTCTTTCCCCACAAGAAATACTTCATACGATTTTACAAAACAATTAGGCCTTCTCCCTTGCAGCAAAAAAAAAACAAAAACAAAAAAACCCAGAATGGATGATTAGGTTAACACTTTACATCTGACGCTCCTGTGGTATAGAAAAGTAAACTTTCAAGTGTTGGTGCACCTGAGGCCTCACATCACACACACTAAAGTTACATGGTCAACCAAATCCAGCTCTTAAACTTCAGACTAACAATGGCATAGATAAACTTTCCATCTTGAAGTGATATGTGAAAACAGCCTCCTTGTGTGTGTGAAAGTGAAAGGGGGGGGGGGGTGCTTTCAGGACTGAAGTGCAGACAAAAGTGAACCTTTTGCAGTCTGGCCCCCGCAGATGTGGTTGAGACAACGCTAAGCACAGACAGTTTAGAGAAGACCAAAAAAAAAAAAACACTTTGCCACTACAAACAACCTTGTTTTCAGCTGGAGACATCAACATCTTTTTTGACCTGCAAACCATGCTTCTTCCTGTGCTGCACAGTGCCCTGCGTGAAAAAGAAAAGTTGAGGAAGCCACCCAGAATTTTAAACGCCTGATTCTGCCAATCACACAGACACGTTACTCAAACAGAGACGCTATCTTTAGGTTGCATCCAATTCCAAAATAACTGCACAGACTTGTTGGCTGCTCTGCATGCTTTTTCTCCCCCTACAATGTCACACAGGGCTTGCTGCAGCAGCAGCAGCAGCAGCAGCCTGGCGAGGGGCGACATCCACCCTGAAGAGAAAAAATGCACCAACTTTGTGTCTTGATTTAATCCAAACCTCATGTAAGATCCTCCACACAAACACACACACACTGCCTCACACACACACACACACACATAGTGAACTTTGGACGGCAGGAGGAAGAGGTTAGCCTAATGGTGGAGCAGGAGATTTTTTTTTTTTTTCCAAGAACATTCCTTCTCAATGGGAAAAAAGAAGAATTGGTGTTTGGAGCTGAGAGGAACAACAGCGTTGAAACATGACGAGACAGGCAGTGAGGCGGCTGGCGGAGCCTCCTCTCCGGTACGGCTAACCGAGAGCATCCCGGTTAGCTTTAAAGCCGCCTTTACAGTGGACGTTTCCCCCTTAGAAACCCCCCCATCCCCGGTGTGCAACTGCAGGGCCCGGCGCCGCCATACACCACCACATAGACACATAAAACAACACGTATAGCATGCCCCGTAGCAACCAGCGGAAAGAGACATGCGAAAAACGAGGAGGAGGGGGCACAAACCGGGACCGTAAACCGGCCACAGACCCCCCCCCGAGGACGGAACATAAAGAGAACAAGTCCAGTAAGGCGAACTAACCTGTTTGGGAGCAGCACGGTCCGCTGGATATTGGGTTGGATCCGAGTTAAATCCACTATCAGTACAACAAAGAGGCGAAAATGACCGAGCGGCCGCGGAACAGGCCGAAACAGCACTCCTGGAGATGCGTGTGCGCATGCGCAGAACAAAGCCGGAGGTAGTGGTGGGAGAAAAGGGGGGTGGGGTGAGAGAGTGCAACTAATTTTTTAGAATTGATCGACTGAGTGTGCCATTCATTATTAATTATGAGGAAGTAAAGCGATTCAATAGCTTTTGTTTTCATTGTGGGACACAAATACAATAAAGAAATAAAACAGTAACGCTGTCTAAACAGAGAAAGACAAATATTATTTATTACTGGTAATACAGGATATACTAGCGATCAGAAAACAAAGACAACACAAGGAAAGTCATAAAAGTGTTATTACAATCCATCACATAATTGTTAATATATATGTTACTGTGAAGCAAAATAAATATCAGAATAAAAAAAAATAAAGTTGCTCTTATAAACAGGAAAAAAATGAATAAAAGAAGAATAAGAAATGTAAATAAGAAATAAAGCAATTAGTCCAAAAACAGAGGATATTTGAATAATAAAGCTATGTACAAAGAGGAAGTAGAAATGAGCTAGAACAGCTGATTGAAGAAATAGACAATATGTAAAAAACGCACAGTATTGAACATTAGAGATATTGCAAAAATGTATTGCACATTAGGCCCAATCAAATACAATACTATCACGTTTATGTCAGTAGTGCACACATGCGTTAATGTAATTGTTGACTGGCTTAGAATCGGATTGCCTATTAAAGGCTGATGTGGCTCAGTTGGTCGAGGGTTCGATCCCCAGCTCCTGCAGCCACATGTCCGATGTGTCCTTGGGCAAGACACTCAACCCTGAATTGCTTCCACTGCTTCGTCAGCGTAATGAATGCCGCAGTTACTTCTGATGGTCTCACTACACAGCAACCACTGTCATCAGAGTGTGAATGTGTAGGTGTGACCTGCTGTGTTAAAGCGCTTTGAGTAGTCAGAAGACTAGAAAAGCGCTTTTCAAGCTCAAGTCCATTTACCATTTAAAAATCATGTATACAATGGAAGGGTTAACTACGGTGGTCCTGAAGGTCAAATGCAAAAACATTTCACAAAATGCAAAAAATGATCACGAACCAGAATAGCATGTAAAAAAAAAAAACACTGCTTGTTTGTAATTGGAAAAAACTGAAGTCCTTAGCAACAATCACGAGTCATTGCCGTTTACATTTGACTTTTTGCTACGGAGAATTTCAGCCAAATAAGCAAAATGTAGATGTGAAATGTTTTCGCAGTCAACCGACACGGCCACATCTGTAAAAGATGAATTAAGTCCAGGGCCAGACTTACGTATGAGCTTTAAGTCTTAACTGTTCAAACAGCCTTTAAAGTACTCCCTTAAATGATCCATGCCAGATGACAGATCTCCATCTGCTGGGGAAAATCTCTAGTCAAAATCAAAAGCTCCAGACCAGCAGTGTAATATAAACAAATCTGCTGGTGGGACGTTTTATTGTCACAATACCTTTTATCATTTTCCAAAAGAATTGAAAGGATTCTTAATTATTTATAATAAATTCATGTGCCAAAGATTCTCTTAAGAAATAGGAGCCTATCTGTGGAGCACGGTGAAGTATAATAGAAATTGCCCTTTGACATATTACTGTGCAATGCATGAATGAAAGTGAGCAAACGGTAATTACTGTGTTATGAATTATAAAACTAGAATCTGAATCTGTATTACAACCCTGACTGGGTGCCTTCCCTGTCTCTACAGATTCTCCTTTCAGTTTCTGTTTTCCCTCTTCAGGTGTGTGTGTGTGTGTGTGTGTGTGTGTGTGTGTGTGTGTGTGTGTGTGTGTAATCGGTGGGGGGGGGCTCTGTTGTGCCAGGGCTTGCTGTCTGACCTTCCCCTTCCCCGAGGTGTCGTGGGACTGGCTGGACAGGGGGCCAGCGGGTGCATGTACTTGACGGCCCAGTGGTGTCCTGGATCTTGCTGACCATTGGTCTGCATAGTTTGGTTTTGGGGCTGATGGGGTGGGAGGTGTCGGTTTTGTCACTGCCTGGCGGACGGGACACTCGTGGAAGGGGCCTGGGTGTGGTTGGGGGGCCGTGTGGTGGGTTGTGTGGCTTGTCAGTGTGGTGTATACGGGCAGGGTTGGGGTGGGGGTTTCTTCACTGAGCCCTTGTCCTTTGATTGGGGCAAAAGTATCTTGTACTTGTATATAAAAAAAATAGTTTATTTGCCTTATTATTTGTTATGTGGATTTGTTATATTTATTTTTTGCTCCCTGAATTTGAACGTTTAAGTCATCAATGATCCTGTAATTTATCCTGGAGTTGATGTTTGATATTTTTGCTTTTGTACCCCAGCAGGCGTTTTTACTTTGTTATTGTTATTTCTATTGTTGTTATGTCATTTTTTTTTTGCCAGAAAGACAACACAGCACAATTAATGATCAATTGAATGACAGAAAAAATATAATGGCAGCTTTTTTGATAATCCTCAAATAACTTTGACCATTTGTTAGTCGTGTAAAATGTAAACAAAGAGAGGAGATTTTCTCCTGTTCTTTTCAAATGATTATCATCACCTTTTTTTTTTAGGTTTGGACTGAATGGTCATGAAAAAAAATCATCCAAACATTTATTACAAAAGTTAATTTCCCTCCCTAAACTTGCATACTCTGCATAAAGAATTGAATCACAGGCCTTTTACTTGCAGCAGAGTATTATTGGTGGTTTTATTTGTACTTTCACAACCGTAAATGCAATGTTGGAAATAAAAGTGTTGTAATATAAGTCAGAGCAAAAATAACACATAAGAAATGTTGTCTTCTCTTAGTAACTGCATTCATATGAGTCCAGAAAAATAGAACAATATTTTAAATCAAAGTAAAGTAATTTAACTGTGACTATTTTTAGTGGTTTCACTTTCTCATCCAGTGATTTTTTTTTAAAGGGTTGGAGAGAGGGAGGAGTGTGTTGTGTCGCTCTGCCCATCTGCTCAAAGAGGTTGAAGAAATAAAGACATCTCACTCTGCTCATATAACCAGTTACCTGACAGAAAGATTACCAACAGGAGAGCAGCAATCTCATTTAATAATTTAATAATGCAAGCACGTTGCACTCATTGGCAAACGGGTATAGTTGTTGTTTAATAGCACAAAAACGAAGCTGTCAGAGGATGCAATTTATCAAAAGCAACACAGAGGCTGTCGTTAAAATAACCTTACTTTAAATGTCAGGCAATCGTTTAGCAAACCTTTTCTTTTGCAGATAACCAAAAGTAAACACTTTATTGCAGCATTAAAGAAAAAGGACTGCTGTCCTCTTCATGAACCCTGTAATTGTGCTGCTGCCTGTCTAGGCCAGGACACTCTTGTAAAAGAGATTATTAATCTCAATGAGACTTTTTCCTGGTTAAATAAAAAAAAATAAAAAATATGTGTTTGTCACTGACAGAAAAGGCAGTTGGAGCATGTTAAAATTTAATTTAGTTTCAAATTAATTTCCTGTAGTTTTATCTTGGACTGATGACAAGTTAGATGTTTATTTTAATAGTTTGTTTATAATGTTAAATAAGCTTTGTAAAATGGAATTGTGTTTCACTTTTTTTCGAGTTAAATTCAAAACATACAAAAAAAGTTTATACAAAATCTTATAAAGGATGAACATACAACAGCAAAATACAAGTTAATTCAAACATAAATCAAGACTAGGGGGGATTATATATAAAAATAAATAAATAAAAATCAAACTTTTCCAAAAGTATAGTGATTAATTTAAAGCTAATCTCACATTGATTTTTTTTAAATGGCAGAAACGGTATATATATTGTATAGAAGCCCATTCATTCATAATTTTTAAAAAATAATCTGAGAAGTAATGGTAAGCAATACCACAGAGTAAATTCACTCTGATAAAGGAAAACGTTAGAAAAAGAAAGAAATCACACATTTTTGTTACAGAAAACATCATCAAACCTTTAAAAAAATGCAACCTTTATGGTAGACCAAGTGTGCCAATGTTAAATGGGATTCTGTATTTATTTAAGCTGCATATTGGATAATTGTTTTTAAATGTCCAGAAGGTTGTGGTTATATCCAGTGCAGTTTATTTAGCAACCGAGTGGTGTATCGGTTTTTATAGAAGATCTTTGGTACAGTACGGTGACACTCCCGGCGGCTGACCCGAATCATGAAGGAGTGTTTTCCGATTTCTCCCAGCCGTCACACTTTAAATGACTTTAAAATACTCCTAAAGACAACTTAATGGATTAACAGAGTGAATTTTAAAAGATATAACCTAGTATATGTGTATTTTAAGGACCCTGTGACCGCCGACATGAACTTTGTGATGCCTTGGATATTCTTACTGTGTTAACCACCTTCAACATCGACCACAACAACAATGGAGGAAGAAGGCGAAGTTTCACCGGCAGTTCAAAGTGTTTACTCTGCCGTGAATGCTCTGAAAGGACCAAACCAAGACCTGAAGAAACTTCTGTCTTTTAAGGTTTACAAGAGGAGATGGTTTGTCCTGCTGGTGCTGTGTCTGTTAAACTGCTCCAACGCGACGGTGAGTTAGCGAAGAGGGTTTACACGACAGTAAATCAGAGGTTCATTTTAATACAGCTTGACCGAAAATGTAGATTTTATGGAAGCCGAATTGTGCCAAAATTAAGTAAACAATCCGCGATGGACGGAGTTCTTAAATCTTAAAGCAGCAATATGTAGGGTGAGTGTTGGTAAAATGGGACACTTTCTGGATCAATTTGTTGAACCATTCCAATGCCATAACTCCTAACTTTATACATTTATATATGTTAAAGAGGACACATTATCCCCCTTTTCCACCTTTTCAATAAGTCCCCCTGTGCTCTAAATGAAACATCTTTGTTGTGCTTTGGTCAAAATATAACATGAATCAAGCACCAGAGGAGGTTTGTGACCCTGTATAAACCAGCTCACTCAGAAAGCTTCGTTTTGGTGTGTGTGTCTCTTTAAATGCACTGAGCAACCAGGATCCCACTGTGATGTCACAAGGAGAGCAATTTTGAAACTGAGCATTTTTCTCTGTGTTGTAAGACTTACGCAGACCACAAACAAAGGACTGGATGGATATATTTCACATTTTGTGGGTCAGTAGACACTCAGGTTACCCAAATATATGTTCAAAAACACTGTAAAGTGGATTTTACTTAATATGTCCCCTTTAACTCGTTTCCTGCAATATACAGAAGAAAAAAATAAAGACAAATCAAACAGAGAACTTATGACTTAAACTCAAGCACAACATGTCCTGGGAGTAGTATGATATATTCTGGTTTGAAAAACACAGAGAAAAATGAAAAGATAAGTAATTTCAGCATTTTAATATATTCAAATAACCAAAGAATGTCAAAATAACAATGCAATGGGTACATTTAAGAACCAACATTGAACAGTTTAATCGTTTTTAAGTTGCTAGCTGGTTGCAAACTAGTTGAAGCATAGTCCAGTTACGTACATGAGAAGAAGACATAATTCAATTTTTACACTCTGTTATCAGAGATACTACACACACACACACATATAGGCCAGGTATACACACACACATGCGCAAACAGGATCCAGTGGTCATGAACTAAATGAGAGATGTCAGAGTGAATGGCTGCACACAAGAGAGAGAGTTGGGGGTTTGGTGCAGTGCTTGGAAAGTGACCTGGCTCTTCTCCAGCAACCAGACCAAGCTATACCAGCAACCCTCTGCTTCCCAGCTCATGTCCCTATGATGACTGAGCTACTGCGTCCAAAAATATTGTGTACAAATGATTAACTCATTAGTATTTCTTTTAATATTCTGACAGGAGAATGCCACTTGCTAGCTCATGGGATTTTCTTCTGGCAATGCTCCCTCACATTCTCATGTCAACTTATTATTGATTTGATGTGCCAATAAAAAAAAAAAAAATGTAAATTTATGAGGCATTGACATTCAAACATACTCAAGTACAAAGGCTAAAGATTTTTCATCTATCACATTAGTTTAACAAGATATTTTGTGTTTATTTACCACACTAGAGTCAAATGTTACACTATATATGAAGACTTTTTATTTCACTAAAACAGAGAATCAGCTGGTCAATTTTAGAAAAGAAGAAAGTCACCCTGTACATGTTTGGGAGTACAGAAGGTCACGCTAGAAAAAACGAAGGTAACGTCAGCTTCAAAATGTTATTGTGTTTGGGCCGAATATTGACCAAACATCTCAAATGACCCATTTGTAACATTTGTTGTGGATGCTCTGTGGTGGTACAGCAGCAAAGTCAAACCTTTCTTCTGGGACCGAACAAACGGCCCACATCATGCAAAAGAGAACTATGGTGTAAATAAATCTACAAAACTGAGTTCATTATTCGGTCTGTTATTTCAGATTATTCCAACACCAAATGAATGCAGTTTTATTTTCGGCACAGTCAATACTTAAAGATGCTCAATATAAGACAAAAAATGTTGTTTGCTTTGATTGTTATTTGGTACATTATAATTTTGATCTCCGATATAATAGCTTAGAATTCTTATTTGTCATACATTTCGGTTTCTATTATTTGCTTATTGTAGCAATTTTAGGCTTCCGTATTATGTTGAGGTTGAGGTTACACATCATTTGAATAAATCTTTACCTGTACGATATATCAATTGAAGCAAAATGACATTCAAGTCATATTTAGTATCAATGCTAAGATCTGCCCCTGTATACGATGATAAACTCCTGTTAGACTGTAGAGAGGTTGTTGTTTCACTGTCTTATTAATAATCAAATAATGGAGACACACACCCTTCTCTTTGTTTACATGTTTTCCTTATAAGTAAATAGCAGATGCCACTTTAAATGCTTCCTTAAATTGACAGCTTTATTGTCTCAGATGTCAGAAATGCTTAGCGGTTAAAAGACGACGTGTTTGTTACCACGGCGTTTGGATGACATGTGGTGTGTCTTTATGTTCAGAGAAACTTGATATCATTCCCTGGAGATGTTGTCATTGTAAAGCAGAGTGTGCCTGGAGGCAAGTGTGCCCGTCTCTGTCATGCAAACACAACCCCCCCCCCCCCCTCCTTTTACCCTCACCTTTTTTTTTTTTGCAGCTCCCAGGGGACTGGTCCTCTCTATGGGAGCTATTGTTAACACAGAGCTGGTGTTCACACGCACAAAGGATCCTCAGCTGGCCGAGACTCATTCACGATGCATCAAATAACAGCTGATGAGCCTGTTAGACATCAATCTGTCGGACGTTAGCCGGGATCAGGGTGGGATTTACAACAACAACAACAAAAAGCAGTGGTGGGCTGCTGATTGTTGTCTTGTAAATTGATTTAGGAGGAATTTTGAGAACCTAACCAACATTTTATCAAGATATACAAACCTGAGAAACCCAAACACCTCTACATGTGCACACAGATCATTCAACACAGGTTATTTAGTTTATCACCACGGTGTGACAAAGCTCAATAGTTGAAAATACAACCCAAGTTTGTGTCATCCTGGTAGAGAATTAAGAACCGCCATGCATGCAGAAAAGCTGGCAGTTAATGCTGGGTCAGACTCTGTGCAGGGTTGACCTCAGACAGGCTCCTAGGCCCCATTAGTAAATGTGTGTTAGTGACCCACACAAAGAATGTAAAGAACACTGATATAAGACCATGACGAGTCTAGATTGCTTGTTTTTTTTTTTTCCAGATCTCAAATTATTGAAATATTTGATCAAAGACTTCTTTGATGAAAGGTGTTGCACAGTTTTTCAATTTAAGGACAAAATACAACACTTTTAGTCTTCGTCTTGTCCTTGTACAGACCCAGAATACCAGCGCCAAAAAAACGATGAAGAGGGCGCCGCAAATACCAACAAAGTCTTGCAGCAAGGACATTTAAGAAGTTTTTTTTTTTTCGGAACTATTTAGCTTTATCTTCAGGGTAAAACAGAAGAAAACGTTTCTGTAGAAAAGTGGAGGAAGGTTCATGTCACTTCATTTGTATCCGTGTGTACATTTGGTTGAAGGGACAGAAAGAAATTCAAAACAACGGCTCAAAGTCAAAATTATATGTAGTCATCCGAAACAAATGCAATCACCTAAACATGCTGCGGACAAAAATATTTAAACAAAAGGACAGAGAGAGAGCATCAGAGATGTCTCCAGGATTCTATATGAAGTGGATTGAATAGTTTCAACACAAGAAACTCCAGATGTGGAAAAAGACAGGATGGTTTCACAACCAAACAATATTGTTTTTTTTTTTTTTTTTAAACCCTGATCTGAATGAGAGTTTCACCTTTCCTCTACAGGACACATCAGGTCTCTCCATGTATAGGTTTCATTTTACGTTCTTGAACTGGTGCGTCCTTTGTTGTCTCAAAGTTTCCTTCAGCGGTCAAATTGATGCTGTCCATTCACTCGCTCTTTGAATCAGGCCTGTCAGCTGCATCGTCGTTGTTTTTACATCCCATTCTCAGGCCATGACCCTGCTGTAAAGAGATTTGTTGTTTGAGTTTTGAAACATCGGTGTTTCTTAAATCTGAAAAGAAATCAGATTATGGACGTTTATCAGAAAAGTCTTTAATCTGCTCTGCTGTGACCTGTTGCATTATCAGCCATTAAATAACACATTTTCAGGCTCTGCAGATAAAGCTGTCTGCAGGATGATCATTTTGTGTTTCATATTTAAACATACTGTCCTAATTATAAACACCTAATTGTCTTAAACAAAACGTGTGCACTATATTCCCATCTCAGTCTTTAGGAAGGGATTTACTCTCAAATGACTACATTTTTCAGATCAATTTTTTTTAAATTGATTTCTTCATGTTTATTCTTTGTAGCTATGGCTGACTTTCGCTCCAGTAGCCGCCCAGTCTGCCCAGTATCTGAACGTGTCTCTGGGGGACATCAACTGGTTGTCACTGGTCTTCATGGTGGTGGCCGTACCGCTCAGTCTGGGAACCACGTGGATGCTGGACACCCTCGGGCTACGGATCACGGTAAGACACTCGCTCTGATCTGATCTGAGGCCTCACCAGGAGCTCCTTTATGTTGAAGGCTTTGCTTCAGTCCCTGTTTCCAGTACCCTTTGGGTTTGTTTTTGTTTTTTTTACTGGGAGATCTCTTTCTTGATTGACTGTTTTAGGTAGAGCCTGTTCAAACAGTGCAGGGTGTGGTTTGTTTTTTTATCAGAACAACACAAGTAACCAAGTGGAAAATGACTACAACAGGGGGAAATGAGGAAAGACTGCAGGAGAACAAATGTTAATCTAATGTTACAAATAGACTAATACTCTAAAATATTAATTATAAATGCTGTAGTCTTCAGGTAGAGAGAGCGAGAGAGAGAGAGAGAGGGAGGGAGAGAGAGATGACTGAAATCTGAAAAAAAAAACTTAAAATTCTAACTTTTTCAATATAACATTTTTTCAACAAGTTTATTCTTTTGGATATCTGCCTCCTGAGGCGGCTGCTGTTGGGGAATTTTTTTATTTCTTATTTTTTTTCTTTTTCTTTATCTTTTGTGCCTTTATTGGAGAGATGGGACAGAGGATAGAGATGGAAATCAGAGAGAGAGAGAGAGTAGGGAACGACATGCGGGAAAGGAGCCACAGGTTGGATTTGCCTCTATATGTGGGACGCGCGCACTACCCACTGCGCCACCAGCTGGGGAATATTTGAAACACACCTGAATCAGTCCAGAATAAAAAATGTAATATTAAGAGCTTTCATTCTTTCTGCTGCTGAAAGTTAGGATTTCAGTCTTTTTGTGTCATCGCGTTTTTTTATTTCATAACCTGGAAATAAGGTTCCAGAATGACAGCTAGAAGATGTTTCACTAATTACTATACAAAGAACATTATGAATATACTACCTTTATGTAAGTGGGGGTTGGGTTGGTCATTTAGATAAATACTTTGGTGCATCAACAGTTTTTTGATCATTTTCCTATTTAATGATCTGCCTCTAAAAGAATTACACTCCATATAATATAGAAGTCTGTCAAGTGTGTCTAAAAGCATGCAGGAATGGGAACTGTCAGTGGTATCCGGGACAGAACTTAAATGATGTCTTTAGTAGTTTGTTTCTGAGCAACAACAACAACAATAATTTGTTTGTTTGGGAGTAAACAGATGTAAAGCTGCCACAATGATGAAACTGACTAAAGAATCCTGAATCTGTGTCACATCTTCACTCTGTAGTTGATTCTGGGGTCCTGGCTGAACATGTTTGGAGCTCTGCTGCGTTTCTGCGGGACCCCACCAGGTGAGGGATTTACGATCCGGTACCCCATAGTGATGTTTGGTCAGACCCTGGCTGCCTTGGCTCAGCCCCTGATTATCTTCACCCCCACCAAGCTGGCAGCTATCTGGTTCCCCGACAACCAGCGTGCCACTGCGAACACCATCGCCTCCATGTGTGAGTGATTCACTGTTTATTCAAATGAAAGCTGAGTGGAAATGAGACAGCGTTTAACATCGCTTTAAGGCTGTGTACTTTGTATATTCATCAATCTATGGAGACATCACGTTCCAACTTAAAGAAACAGCTGTTCTTGTTGTTTTTACTTAGTCACCATGGAGCAGTTTTCTGAAAAAGTCTAAACCTCATGTCATTCATTTAAATGTTGCCTCGAGTGCTTTTTTTTGTTTTTGCTCTTTGTACCTAAAACAAGTAGGAAGTGGGTCCATGTCATCATGTGCTGTGAATACATTTTGGCATGTCAGCAAATTCTCATGCATACAAAGCAGAATGAAGCATGTGTCCAGGCGTGATTAACCACTGTTAAAAATGTTCTAATTATAATTTCTCTACTTAAAGATAAGAGGTATTATATGAAGTATTTTTGCAGATTCAGTGTGTACGTATATGTTGCACATAAGAACAAACAGAAAAAGAGGAACAGAGAGGGTGGTAATGCTGCATTTATTCTTAACAGGACATGAAACAGAATCGCTCTTAAATCCCACTTCTCGTTTTCCTCCTCAGCCAATCCCCTGGGCATCCTCCTGGCAAACATCATCTCTCCCATGATCGCTCAAACATCTGCACAAATCCCATCCCTGGTGAGTCTAACTAGTAGAATAAAAGAAACTCCAAATCCACCGATGAGAAGTCTGGGCAGGCTTCTGATTGAGTGTTAAGTTACCGCTCAGAAGCTGACAGAAGACTTCCTTCATTCATGAACTGATGCATATAGGGATCAATTCAAAGGCTATAGGCTGAGTCTTATTTGTGGACTTCTCTCTTCTTGTTCCTGTTGCTGTGTAGAGTCAGTCGTCCATTAAAGGAAAAATCGTCTTAAAGAGGTCCACCATCTGTTTGCCTAGAATTAGGGGATTTCTGCGGGGCATTGTGGGATATCAGCTGCTAATAGAGAGAGAGCTACTGCAGCTGAACTGTGTGTGTCCTTTTCTGGGGTCGACTCACCTGCTCACCTGCTGCTAATGATGATAAATAGTCTCTGTTTTAAGGTGCTGACATTCATTTATCAACACATTATGTGTGTCTCTCCCCTCCTGTAGCTTCTGGCCTATGCAGTCCCGGCATGCATCATCTGTTTCCTAGCAACAGTGGGGCTACGGAGCAGCACCCCACCAACGCCGCCGTCAGCCAGCGCTGAGGCATCCAGCTCTGAGCCGTTTGTACAGGGGCTCAAACTGGTAAGGAGACAGGAGGGTGGAAAAGGCCAGTATTATACAGGACGGGTGTCATGGACAGACAGATTGAAATTTTAAACTCTTTTAAATCTCTGAATCATCAAAGTGTATCACTTTTTTTTTTTATAGAAAGACTAAAGCTGCAGCATTAGGGAGTATGACTTCTTCCTTGGTAACATTGTGACTTTCAACTTATCTTTTGAGGTCTAATGGTTAACACGTTCCCTCCCTGTGTTTAGTAAGGACATCTGATATCTGTGAGGAGAGATGTCTTGGGGTGCACATGGCCTAGTGGTTAGGTCGCGCCCCATGCAAGAAGGCAATGAGTCTGTGATGCAGACTCAATGCCAAGAGAGGAGCAGCACTCTCTCTCTCACACACACACACACACACACACACACACACACACACACACACACACACTGCACGGGCAGCTGATGACGTGAAATAAAACTTTGCTACAGTTCTGAGGTTTATCTTTGAAACGTATGGACGGCACAGCAGACTGGAGTCTCCGTTTACAGTGAAAAAAGATTGGCGTCATAGGGGAAGGATCGAGGGTTCGATCCCCAGGACCTGCAGCAACACGTCTGATGGGCAAGACACTTAACCCCAAATTGCTTCTTTGGTGGAATATGAATGCATACAGTATGCGTAATGGGATTATGGTAGTTACATCTGATGGTCTCTTTACACAGCAGTCTCTACCATCAGTGTGTGAATGTGTAGGTGTGACATGCAGTGTAAAAAAAGCGCTTTGAGTAGTCAGAAGACTAGAAAAGTTCTATACAAGTCCATTTACTATTTAACATTATGTCTCATGCAGTAGTAAACTCTGATAATATTGAGCTGTTCAGCTCTCTTTGTGTTATTCTCAGCATGTATAAGAACTGATCGTGCATTATATTTGAAATACAGGACAGATCGCCTCATTGATGCAGTAAGACACAGAGCGTGAAAAACCAAGACAGTTTAGAGTTATACATTTCCATCTCGTCTAATAAACATGAATCACCTGTATTCTAAGATAAACTACTCACGCTGTCTTTCACTTGTCTTCTCCGGTTACCCACTTCTCATTGCAAGATTGTCCCTTAAAAGTAAACAAAATCTAGGGAAGTTTAGGACTTCTGTGCATGCTAGAATATTTCATTTCATTTCCTTTATTACACAGGAAAGATTAAACTGGCCTGACTCAGTTAAAACTGGTTTACAGCAGGCTCCTGTTCTGCAAACAAAGATCGCATCAGACAAAAGACACGAGCAACAGTCGGCTCCATCTTTATTCTCAAAACGAGGAGAGGACATTAATTAGACCACACGTGGACATGAACACAACTTACACAAAAGTAGAAATGTGTAAACCTCGTCCAAATGGACAAGGAAAGTTCAAATAAAATACAATCTACAACAGGCAGCATCATGGCATAAAACATAAGAACGCCTCCACGTCATCATTCACCACAGTCATTAACATTTTATCAGCATCAGCATCACCTTGCTCCTCCAGATGTTTTCTGGTGATGTTGTGTGGGTCTGCACGATGAGCTTTCCTCCTGCAGCGACTGACATTTCTGTCCGCAGCGGTGACGCTTCTCACCGTGCCGATGATGAGTTTTTTTTCCAAGGCGATGACATTTCTACCTGCAGAGAGGATGTCCTCACCTGCATCTGTGACATTTCCACCTGAATGTGACGCTCTAACCTTGGTTCTAGCTGCAGTGAATGTGTTTCTATGCACATTGATAAAAAAAAAAAAAAGTATTTCTCATGAATACGACCTCTACACGGCTTGATGTGACAGATCCCATTTCTAATCATTTAATGCGTTAAAACTTTACATTCATTTAGGTTACAGTTACCATGGAGATAAAACAGACAGAATCACAAGGTGTCTCACTAGTGGTGCAACGGATCACAGATCTCACAGTTCGGATCAGACCGAGGATTTTTGCCTCCAACTTAGGTGTAACAGGAATCGAATGATAAAACTGCACAGACAGGGGGGTCAGTTCATGGAAAACCCAAACTCTCTGAAACATACCCACAGTGCAGCAGCTCATTCCTGTTCTCGGTGTGTGCTCGTTTCTCCACTGTTGCTGCAGTGACCGTCTATCCCTCAGAGGTCACTCAAACAAATCCTTGTTTATTCTGTGTCTTTCTGCAGTTGATGAAAAACAAAGCCTACCTCCTCTTGCTGCTGTGCTTCGGTGCCGGCATGGCTGTTTTCAGCTGCTTCGCCACCCTGCTGGAGCAGATCATGTGTGTGCAAGGATACACCAACGTGAGTTCACTCGAGGATAAGACCGTATGAATTAGATCAACAAGTATCTGATGAGCAGTACAAGCATAGCACAGAGATGAAATGTGTGATAGAGAGATGTGTAAGTGGGAACATTGGAGAGGGAGCGTAATACAGAAATGATCCTTAGTGACAGTTAAAGTGCAGTCTTTGTGTAACAGGAAGTTGATTTATATTAAGTCTTTATTTGCTCAATAAACCGGTTCCATTTTCCTCGCTGCAGGACTTTGCCGGTTTATGCGGCGCCCTCTTCATCGTGTTCGGCATCCTGGGCGCTGGGATTCTGGGTCTGTACGTGGACAAGACCAAGAACTTCATCGAAGTCACAAAGATCAACTTGAGCCTCACTACTCTGGCCTGCATCGCCTTCTCAGTGGTGAGAACATCAAACAGAACTGTTTGGATTTCAAAGTGAATTCAAAGGAGAGCAGACTTTAAAACTGCTGATGTAAAAACAACAAATGACCTCAATGCCTGTAAAAGCCTCGGGATTGAACTGTAAAGTTTGTGTCTGGTTTCCTTCACTGTAGCAGATGACGGTTTGTTCTGTCCGCTCCTCTCAGGTGTCTCTGATGCGGGATCAGAAAATCGCCATCGCTGCCGTCTGCTCTCTTTTTGGCCTCTTTGGTTACGCCATTTACCCCGTGGCCATGGAGCTCTCTGTGGAGTGTTCGTACCCCGTGGGAGAGGCGACATCAGCTGGACTCCTTTTTATATCGGGGTAAAATCCAACATTACAGTTCAGGCAGGAAACAGTGGATCAAAATCATCATAAAGATTTAATGATCAGGGTCAGATTAAAAGCATTTTGTTTTTTATCCATCCCTCAAAGTAAACCTGTTTCTGTTTGTGTCGCAGATAGTTATTTTAAAATCTGCTCAGATTTGAAATATTAATATTGTTTTTAAATTCAAAATAAACAGTTTTCAGCCCCCAGACTTCATCTTTCTACCTAATGTGAAATTTCATGTTTGAATAAAATCTCTTTTGTTTGTGTCCTTTCCAGGCAGGTTCAGTCTGTTCTCTTCATAATCCTCCTTCAGGCTTTGACCACACGGCTCGTAGACTCTCCTCTGTCGACGTGCGGGAGAGACGTCCTGAGCTGGAGGGGTAGGTCATGTGACGTTACAACAACATGAGCAGCATCTTTGTTTGGAGCTGCAGCGCACTTAGCCGTCGTAAATTCAGCTCTGTCACTTTCAACCTCTTCAGTGCAAAGGCAACAAACAACACTTGTTAAGAGTCGCGTTCAGACTTTTTTTTTTTTGTGAAGGAAAAAGTAGCAACATTTAAAGCATTTTATGAGTTACATCTGATCTAATCTATAAATCCTTTACTGTTTCAGAGAAGATGTTTGAGATCTGTTGCTTTAAGTATCAGCTAACAGATACACATCCTCCTGGACATTAAGAAAACTTGTGTTTTTTCGATCAGTGGGAGCTAAATTTAATCCTGACGCTGATTTTTCTCCTCTTCAGTGCCGCTGATGGTGATGGCCGGTCTGTTCACTTTCTTCACCTGCATCTTCGTGATTTTCTTCAACACTCGGTACAAACGTCTGGATGCCGAGGAAGAAGCGACGAACGGGACGAGACCGGGCAGCGGCTCGACGACCACCGAGCACTCCCTGAGTATAAACACTTGAACCTCCTGAGAGGTTACAGACCCGCAGCTCGGGGAAACTTGTGGGCATTTATGTTAACCTGAGATCCAGAGAAAGTTCCTGTCCAAGACATTCCTGTTCTCACTGATTCTTTTGGGTGATGTCAGGGCCAAAGGGTACTTTTTTTTTTTTTGTACTTTGATTTACAAAAACAGATTGTAATTTAATTTAGTCGCTACCAACAGACGCTTTCAATTTCTAAAATTAGGAAAACAAAGCACTTCACACAAAAACAGGGACTGTAGTGAGATAACTCTGTGGAAATGATAGTTTCATGGCCTCTTTGGAAAGTGATCTGTTTTCATTAGAAGTCCAGGTCAACTGGGGAAGTGAAAAGTTAGCGTTCCTGTACTGATCATGTGTTTTAGATGATGTTTGGTTAATTTCTTACAAAACAAACCTTGTACCTTTTACTGACACAATGGGAGAGAGATTTATACCAAAAATGAATACAGTCTGGGTATTTTTCAGCCAATGACAGAGAAGTGTCTGTATTCACTTCCTCTTTAAATGGATGTAATCAGTTCTAATCTACTGATGCCTCTTTGTTTTGTTTGGGACTTGTAGTCCCTCTAGTGGACGGTTGTCAGAGTCTGTTAGCGACTTTGATGTCTTGCCTTTTCTCTGCAAATGAGCCGAGAGGAACTGTTGTTTTTGAGGACTGACCTCTAAACCACAAGTGTTTCCTGATGATGTTTTTCATCCACTGACACATGCTCTGCCATCAGACTGCACTGAAGCTGCTTGAAATGAATCAATGACGCTGACATTTAAAGGCAGAACGGAAACTAAAGAGAAGGTTCAGAAAACGGTTACAAATATTTGAGATGACGTTTGAAATAGATACGACCGACATTCCTGGAACAGTAGTTACTTCTCTTACCAGACCTGCTTCTATAACTCGTTATTTTTTAACGAATCATTTGCCAACTGTTTTGATAACTGAATGTTCCATTTTCCGCTTCTTAAACATGAATGTTTCGCTTTTAGGATTATCAGCAGCTGCTAAGGCTGGATTTCCTGGTTCGGTTTAAAGATGACACCTTTGAAATTCTCTGTTACAGTGGTATGAAAATGAGTTCAATGTTACAGAAACTATCAACAAACACTGCTCTTATCTTCAGTATTCAAATATTAAATCAGTCATCTCTACAGTTTGGCTTCATGGGGCAAAGTTTAACATCTGTTTCTTACCGTACTATACTACTACCACTGAAAGAACCTGCTTCTTTTAAACAATAACAAGCACATTTAGGTTGTTTTCATGAGATTTTGACTTATTTATCTTGTTGGGAGTCTTTATGAACGAGGTGATTTCAGTAATTTTCTCAAAATATGGAGACATTACCTCGTTATCATGGGAAAACTATTATCCTGAGAGAATGACGTAAAGGAGTCAAGAATGACTCTCTGCCTCAGAAAGGTGGAGTAAAATAAAATGTAATGTCTTCCTGTCTGCTTTGGGTTCCATTTAAATACACTGACGTTATACAAATGATTGACTGATTAATAACATACACTCAAAAAACTTCAGTCAGTTTCTCAAAATCAAGGATTTCACACAACTGTGAAATCAGTCTTTTCTAACGTATAAAAAAAAAAATTCATGAGTTGTTAAACCAATCAGAACAAACCTGATGTACCACTAATATTTTTCAACGTTAACGTTTGTTAATCTTGTAAAGAAAATCCGTTGTAACCTGTTGCTATGAACTCTAAATATGTTTCAGATATTCTGCAGGTTTAAAGATGTCAAAGCATTACAGTGTGACGTGTGGGTTTTTATGCAACAAAGACGAGAAATCCATCGACAAACTGTGGAGTGCCTGACGATGCAAAACACAAAACATATAGGATGTAAATGTTTCCAGGTGAACCAACGTTGTGATTCCCTATTTTAACCACTAACTCCATTCAATCACTCTTTGATGAATATGTTGTGATTACATGTACGGTAATTTGTGTGTACTTTTTCCACTGACCAAAACCTATTCCAGTGTTTTTTGTATTTCCTAAAGAGCACACGAGGGGGTAAAGATTTTTTTTTTTAAAAGACTCAGGCTGACTGTACTACTTTAAAACTGGGACATCATCCTTTTCCAAATGATTTGTTCGAATACCTTGATTTGTTACATTTTGTGAATAAAATGTTACCTCAATTATTTTGTTCCTTTTTTCACCAAGTCTTCAAACATCTCAGAAATAACATGCCACGTACAACAATAATAATGGCTCGTGTAAAGGTTGAACATTTTATCCTTAGACATTGAATTTCACTTGATGAGTGTGTCTGGCTCAGTATTACATCTGCTCAGTATTTGCTGATTACATGTCTGCAGAATTTTCCAATGACTGGATTTGCACAGCTCTCTATTAAGTAACTGCACTTTCACAACTGTGATCACTGTCTAGCCCCCTCAGCAGTGTATGTTTACGTTCAGTTATACACTCTTGTCTAATTTGTTCATTTTAATTTGTCGTCGAGACTTAGTAGTAATGTTAAGCTAAACTCTGATATACAGTAAGTACATTTCTGCTCTTTATTTTTTACATCTGTTAGGGTTTATTTACATTTGTTTTGATAACCTGCTGCTGTAACACCACTATCTCACAGTTTAGGATCAATGAAGTACATCAATCTATCTAATAAAGAGACAGGGTACACAATGCATGGTGAGTGACCACACCCTGATGATACTTGTGTTCACTCCTGAGATAATCGCCTTCAGAATGAGATTAAGCTAACAGGTAACGTTAATCTGTTTTCAGCGGCTGAGATAAAGAAAAAAAAAATGACACGAGACCGGGGAGCAGGCGATAAAGACTCCGTAGAGTTTTAATTCTTTCCTCATTCCACATAAAACAAATATAAAAAAGTAGAGCGCTCTCTAGATTCAGTGTTAATCCGTAACAACCTGAAACTTCCTCTTCACTCATCGTCAGCACTGTTTTTAAAAAGACCCATTCATAAGAACACGAGCAGGTTGAAAGAAAATCAAAACATAACTACAGAGTATATTTCAAAACGGACTCTTGTTGAAATTCATACTTCGAAAAATGTCCTCCGTCGTAGTTGCACAGAAACACTTTGGATGGCACCGATAAGACGAGAGGTCAAAAATAAAAAAAACTGAAATGAGATTCTTGATGCAAGAGCTGCTAACTTTCTAATGTGTTTGTTTAGCACAGGTACTGTGTGAGCACAGGTACACATTCCATTGTATCCAATTGTGTGTGTGTGTGTGTGTGTGTGTGTGTGTGTGTGTGTGTGTGTGTGTGTGTGTGTGTGTGTGTGTGTGTGTGTGTGTCTCTCTCTCAGAGCTGCAGGGCACAGAACTGCTGATAGACGGCGAGGATGTGGGGGTCGAGCTCTGCGGTGAACAGCAGGTTCTCCAGGGTTCCCATGTACTGCTGGATGGTCACATGGTGCTGCAGAAAGAGGAGATACACAACATCAGTGAGAGAACACACACACACACTGTGATACTGCACTGTGTGTGTGTGTGTGTGTGTGTGAATGTTTTACCATGAGGAAGACCTGCTGCAGCCGCTCGATGCAGTTTTTGTACCAGGGCGTGCTGACGTCGACGCTGCCCGTCTCACAGCGAACCAGATGCTCCGTCAGCAACATGATGAAGCGCTGCAGGAGAGAAGACAAACTCTAAAGCGGTGCACTCGTTTGTCACAGCTGCTTTTTAAAAAAAAGGTCTGTATACGTTTCAAAAATCTCCGTCTTATTTCGCTTTTATTTTTAATTTTGGGAATCTCACAAGTTCACAGATGATTAAGTCATGGTTGGTTTGATAACACCCGGAGTGATCCCTCTTTTAATTATTTACAATATTCATAGAAAACAGAATGTGGGCTTTTTCCTTAAAAAAAAAAAAGGAAGAGGCTTAAACATAAACTGTTAATATTAATGGAGGAAGCCTAAGTGACGTCAGCCATCTGTTCCTGCATGGAGCTCAGGGGGCTCTGGAGGCTCATAAGCAGCAGCCGCCATGTTGGAAATCCTGTCTCAGTCTAACTTTCAGTCAACCTGACGACAGGCTGAGAGCTGAGGCGGGTTTTAAGCCTTTTGACAAACTGTTACATCGTGCCCACCTGTCAATCATGTCAGCTACGCCCCTAACTATGGATACCACGTATCCCATACAGTATGTGCCCATCAAGACAATAACTAATCAGACCTATGTTGTTTATTGTTCCAGGCTGTAAACATGTTTATTTATGCTGTAAAAACAGTCTGTTTTTTTGTTTTTTTTGCCTGTTGTATGATGTGACTTCAAGTGTTCCTGGAGCCAGCATCAAGCAGACACTTAATGAACTGCAGGGTTTTGCACTTCCTCATTGGCTTCATTTTTAAAGACAGGAGGTTGCCGCTTGGGTTAAAATCCATCCGATTTGAATAATTCATTAATTACTGTGATTTTCTTGTTATGGAAAGATTGGTTTCCATCATAAACGACATAAGTCAGGGGTAAAATTCCCTAGATCACTGGCCCAAGCAGAACTACCTACTATCTTTTCTATGCTCATCTTACTTGTCCTCATATTTTGGCATCTTTTCAGCAGATCTGGCAGAAGTCTACATTTTCAGCTGCATCGTGTTCCAGCCAACTCAAGCAACAAAAAAAACATCTAATTTGTGTGCTGTTGCCCGCTGTCTATTCTTGCAGTAATAAGAGTTATAAGTCATCATCATAACTCATGATGACCTGAATCTGCGTCAGGTGCCAATAAAATACCACAGAAGAAGAGCGGGACACCACATATTGACATTCAGTGATTTTTTCTCAGTGCTCTGGGGTAACTGGTCAGGAAACTTACAAAATGTTAATGTCAGAGAGTTAAGTGCCCTTGAGCCGTCAGTACCTGAAAGATGACGAGGAAGAGGTTCTTCTGCTCGCTCTGAGCCGACTCCACCTTCTCCTGTAGCCTCTCGATCTGCTCCTCCAGTTGCCCTTCCTCATCCTCGCTGTTCTTTTCCATGTCCTCGTCATCACCGCTGTCCCTCTGCTGGAAAACAAACACACAAACACATTTAAACCTCTAACTTAAACAAACTGACTGATGTGACCGTGATGTTTGTATAAAATATGGTAAAGCTACCTTTTTATGTTGCTGTTTCTCCAGTTTGTCTTTGGCCTCCTCCAGCTCCACCTGGATCTTCTGCACGTGTTTGTTCATCTTGCGGATGGTCGAGTGGAGAATCTCCCAGATGAAAAGTCTAAAGAGGGATAAGAGTTTAAATTAACAGAAGAAGGAAAAGAGAAGAATTCATCTTTTACCATCTGGAAAATAAGTCCACGATAGAAGCTTCAAACTGAAATGTTTTCATGTTGAGTGTCTGCCCTTCTTCAACGTGTTGATGTCTCATCTCTCACCTGGTGAACTCGTGAGCCATGTCCTGAGAGAAGAGCCAGTTAGCGACAGCAGCACAGTCCACGATCTGTGTCCGGATCATTTTGTCCACCAGCACAGCGATCATCTGTAAAGCAGCAAAAGACACACGTTGAGGTTTAACTGGAACTCTGGAGATATCTTCATGTAAATCACAACAACTGAAATGAACTTCTTGAACAAAATCCTCTGCACTGTAACTGTCTGTTGCTTCTACCTGCGGGTGATTCTTCCAGGCTTCATAAACAACTCTGAGGATGTGGAGTTTTCCCTCGTCGCTGTCTGTCAGGACCTTCAGGATTTCATGGAACCTGGAGAAGGCAGATGTAAGTTGAAGCCAGCGGGACTGAATTTATTCAATAATAAACTGTCGAGGTCTAAAGTTTATTCACATATTTAACTAGAATAAAACACATCAGACTTCATTTAATTAGGTCACGCTAATTATTACTTCAATATTATTTCACATAGTTTCTCTAGAATCTCTTCAGTTTGCTTGATCATGAAGAATATTTTCTAGAGATGCTCCAATGTATCAGGGGAACATCGGTATCGGTCAATATCAGCCATGTTGACGGACATCGGCCCCATTGACAAATAATGTGACATGCACATTATGTTTATCCGTTTGGTTTAAAGCTGGCAGGCTAGTGTACATAACTACTGAACCAGAGAAGAGGTTTATCCAGGGCAGAAGTAGTCAACTGTTGGAAAAACTTTGATTTGCTTTCAAAGAAAAGTCACAATGTGGGAGTCTTACAAGTCTCTGAGACAGAATCAAGAGGAGGGACAAATAAAACTATTTAAATATATAACATGTCGTAGATTATTTGAAAAACAGACACGTAAATTAAGAAGTAATGAAACAAACATCAGAATATCCAATCTGCTAAATGTCTATTGGAAACATCAGTACTGTGTGCACTATCAGTACATCCCTAACATTGCCTTGTCTTATTCCAGAAAGTATATATAGTATATAGGATATTTGTGTCAGACAGTTACATTCATAGCTGTTGTTTTTTTATATGGTGCTTGTCATGGCGGGTGAACTTACTTGCCGAGGGCACTGAAGGAGTGGCTGAAGGACTTGGCTGCCAGATGAAGCAGAGTCTGCAGGAACACGTCGATCTTCAGGGGATTGAAAGTCTCACCCTCGTCTGAGAGGAGACAACCAGAGAGGAATATAGAGGATAAGAAAACACTTTAAGAATAGGATGTTTTACACCCAGCAGACTGAAAAGATCTTTAGGTGGAGAAACAACAACTAAATGGCATTCGCTTGTGTAATCCACCCACTGTGAATAGAAGCCTACATCCCTATTTATGATCCAAAATGTTACTTTATGATGGTTTTAAAAGAGACAATCATCCCTTCTTCGTCCTTTATGCTTTATATCAAATGTATATTTGTATCCTATATCTAAGTGGTGATAATAATCAGACTTTCCTGGTTAAATGTGTATTTGTTCTTGTTTGTGTTGTCACATGAATTTGTGAAAAGTCAGAGAAATTAAGTCTAAAAACAACATTTCATCCTGAAGCCAAAAAGAAAAGAGGAGTCAAACCATCGTCGTCTTCTTGGTTGGGGTTGGGCACCTCCTTCAGGATAGTCAGGATCTCCTCGTTGGACGCTCGGTTCTTGATGGCGTTTGAAACGGTGATGGATACCGGGTAGCCGGGTAACGAAGCTGTGAGGCAGGAGAGATGTTAAGTTCAAGTGTTCCTTTCTAAACTCTTACACTGGTTACAGAAA